TCGAGTAATCATTTGCTCTTTCCTTATAATTAGAACTGATCGCAATTAACGAGGTCTATTAATTAACGAACCTTTTATAAAACTTTTTAATCATTGTAAGTCAAAATTAATTTGAGCAAACGTTTGTTCAACCGAGCCGGAAGGTCGTTAAATTTAACTCAATAATTTTGTTAGATTAAACCGTTTTGCTTAATATATTTGTTACATCTGTTATACAAAGTGCGAGTTTGAATTTAATTTGTTCGTGGTTTAGTTTGCCATCGAAAAAAACCCTGGAACATTTCCTCACTCAACTCAAAGTTTTGGGAAAGTAATTGAAACTTTTGTGAAGTTACCAGATATTGTTGGCCACCTCTGGGACGGGATACTTCTTTTATGACGTAAAAATAGTTTCAATACAATTCGGGCAATGTCAAGAATCTTATTTTTCTCTATCGGATTTTTTTATTGTTGTAGAAAAACTACTTTAGTTTAGTTATAGATCCTAACTTTCTTGCAAACTAGTGTGCGAATTTTACAAACCTAAAATCTCTTATAAGTCTAAGTAGGTATAAAGAATAACGACGAAAATTTCTTTGTGTCAAGTCTCTGTTTCAGGGGAGACTTTAATGTATTAACGTGCCATTTACTAATGAAATGTTTAATAAGGTCGTAGGCGCTATCAAATAATTTTAACTGTGATTATTGGTTACATTCCGAAACGTAGGAATCTCTTCACGTTCGCCTCATATTTTGTTAGAGCGTCGGTGACTTATGCGTTAAGCAGTTTACTTGTAATTTAAAGGTCCTGGGTTTCTGATGTTTTACCAAATAAATATGTACATTTATCCAACGTCTTTAGTGACGAAAAATGTGATCCACGCATGAGTAACGTCTCTACTAACGTAGGGTACATTTACCCTAGGTACCATACCATTGTATGTATGTAACGAATGATGATACTTTATTCGTAGTGCATAAAATCTGTGATAATTGATATTTGCCACCCATGATCAATTTGATCCAGTGTCGTAAGCGTCGCGTCACCGTCCCGTTCCGTCTGCTGTAACAAAACCATGTAGGTGGAATAAAGCTGAACTTTTGCTATGGCATTTAGAAATTGCCTGGTTCCAACTTTTGGAACTCCTAATGTATTAACGTACTGAATATTAATCGTGTGAAGTCTTACGTATAATTAATTTTAAAGTGAAATTATAGATGGCCGTATGTCAGATGCAAAATACTTTATAAATTGTACAAGTTTCACACGAGGACAGGACAATGAAGTACAGCATGACATTGTGTACTGTTTGAACACCCGTATCAGTAAAGAGGCTATCACAAATATTGGTGAGAACGTCTTCGTAATGTTATTTGCGAAATTTGTATTAGATTCGCTCAGTGCCCTTGCTGGGCCTTTATGTATACACTTTTGTAAATGATACTAGGTGGAGGGTACAAAATAAAACCATAATAAACATTAAATAAATATATTTTATTCAAAATGAAATACTTGTAATATAAATTTATTAATATTACAAATACTTAATTGAATTGTAAAAAAGTACATCAACAAAATCAATAGAAAACTTTAATGTTAACATATTTCAAGATATAGTTTCTTTCTTTATTATAAAAAATAGGTGGACGTAAAATATGACGTCACAAGTCACTATTCATGATGAATCTGTTTCCCTCAGAGTGTTTGCCCGTGTATTTGTATCGACATTTTCCGTAGGCGCCTGCAAAAATATTCTCCGTTAATAACCCATTTAGATGACTGATGAACTCTGTGATATTTCGAAAGGTATACTAATGACACCGTAAACTTCTAAATAGACATTAGAGCCTTCGCACACCTGAAACTATATCGCACAACTGTTTAGTCTCGTTTTGATTCCTATAAGCTTATATGAAGAATACAGTTAAATTTACTGCGAAACAATCGCCAATCGCACAACAGTGGCGCGATAGTTTAGTTAATGGTGTGCGCTCCCTCTTAATGTTACAAGTCGTAATACTACGAAACATGCATGACACAAGCAGTTCCACTTCTGAAGGATCTGTGCAGTCGAATTCAATGAAAATAAGAAATTATAACTAATCTAAACAATTTAACTTCTAACGTTACACATACCTATTATACATGTTTTGTTGTTAGCCAGTAACATATATCATTTGTTATTTCCATTGAATTCAACTATACTTTTTGTCACCTTTGAAATTACAAAAATATAACGTAACCGGTTTCGTAATTGGAAACTGACTGTAATTTTGTGTTGTTTTCATGTATTTATTTATTGCATTTTAATCACTATAGCACAAATATTATATTTAGATCATTTAATGTCAAGCGTTATTAATAGGAACTTAATTAGAAACTAGTTTGAAACTGATATCCTAATAGGTAATGTTATCTACCGTGAATTCCGCAAATGCAATAATTCGCGTAATAATTTTAATTGCAACTTACGTAACGCGTAATTTCAAGGTTTGTTACAATTTACCTGCATAACAGAGTATTTTGAATCAATAGGTACTTTTACATGTAAAAGGCAGCTAATATAGTTACGTGGAAAAGTGTTACTTAAGAAAAAAATATTGACTTAGCATGCAGTTTGTCATTAATGTTTTGTATTCGTTCCCGTTGTACCTTTGTGTTTGCCAAGCGATGAGAAGTCGACGGGCAATGGTCGTACGGGCGTGTTCGTGTCTTGCAGGGGCGGAGTCCCTGGCGGCTGTGGCGGCTCTCGCGGGCGGCGCACGCGCATGAACTCACCCCGGACGGCCGCCTCAGAACGTTCCGATGACGATATACTGCGAGAGTCGAGGAACCGCAATCTACGCACCTTGTAGATCACGTAGTATCTAAGATATACAAATACATCATCATATGTAAAGGGCATGAAAATGGGAGTCGCCATAGGCTGGCAGGAGGCTGGCAGGGGGCAATCAATTCGTGTGAAATAGTTCGAATATTACCTCGAATAAGACCATTATAATAGAAGGTAAAGACAGTCTAAATTATCGTCTGGCGACACCTATAGGTAGGCCCTAAACAACCACATAGACGCAGTGCAGATTGGTTGACTTAATATCTTTGAATTTCTCCGCAGATAAGTGCTTCATGATGTTTAGCTTTGTGGGACATCGGTATGAATGTCACCAACGTTTGCGTATAAATAAAGGACGCTTGATTTCTTATAGAGCACATATATTTCTTCTCATATTATATAAAGGTACAATATACATTACTCATTACAGTCTCGAAAAATATTCAACAGAGAGAAAGAAACCATGCTGACAATTTGAGTTCTACCAAGCTTATACTGAGATTTAAAATGTAACTGCCGATAGCGCTAGTTCAGAATTCGGTGCGAATGTGTCGCCACAGCTTTACAAAATGTGTTCGTTATTTCATGAAATAAAAGCAAGTACAATATTTAATGGTATTTTAGTTCACGTAAATAAAAACAGAAGGCAAATTCATACATAAAATATATTTAATCTTCCAAACTCTTGAGATTCAATAAGAATTTCAGTACTTGCTTAACTTCTTTCAAATGGGGCATTTAATAATAAAAGTGAAAGCAATAAAAATACAGCAAAGTAAAGATTTTTGGCGCGTCACCTTTCGTTGTCATAAACAGATATTCTTGCTAGTAATATCTGTAACGATAAAATACCAAGTGTCGAGAAATTAATAAGTTAAAAGAGGTACGTAAGATTGATATAAATGTTTCCTTGGGAATACAAGTTATTAATCAAATTTCAACTGATGTTCAATAAATGTTTTCGTATTACTCTAACGACTGAATTTCGAAACGAATCTAAAACACTTTGCTTCGTAAGCGGCGCTTACAATCACAGTCACTTGTCACACGTCAACATTGTAATGGAATTTGGATGAAACGTGATGGTATTATTTAAGACGCTGTTACATATAAATGTCGTTTCAATACTTGTCCGTAACACCTTAATGTAAGTTGCGAAAACGTTATCAGAATGCTTATAAAATCAACTCGACACGTCATGGAAACAAGATAGCCCACTTATGGTTGGGAGACGCAGATAAAAGGACACTTATGACGTTTTACTTCCTTGTTATGGAGAGGATTGAGTGTCAGATTGCGCATACTTTCGCAATGTTATCTATATTCCTCCAGTTTTATAGATTCTACCATTACATTGTGAATACGACAAAGGACGTGTGATATTCCATTTGGAAGTTACTTTTACATTTTTCATCAATTTGGGGAAGGGGATAGATAGACAGAGAACATCTGGCATACCGAGGTATATACATCATTGAATAAATTCTACATTTTATACAGGATTAATTAACAGTCCGCGACTCGATGAATAAAAAAAACAGTATTTATTTATTTTGTGAAAAGCAAAAACAAATTCCACGTGACAGCTATTCCACTCTAATCTCTCTTCTGACTAAATTTACTGGTAAATTCGTGCCAGATTATTTCAATCATTATGCAGATATAACATAGATAATACAATGGGCGAACGTATTATATGAATATGAATTGCATATAGATATTTTTGATTTAGAAAAATTTTAATTTCTTATGGTCTAACAGCCACTTATGACCAATAATTTAAATAAATAGTTCTAGTCCACAAAACGTAAGCATCTCATCTTTTTCACATCTCAGAATTAAGAATTAAGATTAGAGGGAACAAATGTACCTGTATCTTTGATAATCGGAGTCATCCTTCTCGCAGTCTGACAGTTGGTTGGGGCAGGCTTTGTTGCTCAATATGCTCAAGTAAGAGAGTGCTGGCATATACTCATTGATCTTTTGTATCAACCCTTCTAAATCTTCCAGCTTCGGTTAACAAAAATAAAACATTTCGTCAGAAAGAAAACACTGATTAAATTTATAAATGTTGGATTGATTTTAAGGTTCTCTTAAGTCGTTGTTGATGAAATTGGAGAGGAAAATATATGGCATATTTTATACCAAAATAATAAATTTATATGTTGTTTATACATGACGTTTTTCTTTATATTTTAACTAGCTTTCGCCCGCGACATCATCCGCGTGAAATTAAAAAAAAAGTGTGTAGCCTATGTGTTCTTCCAGACTATCCTCTACGTCTATGCCAAATTTCATCGAGATCCGTTCAGCCGGTTAGGCTACAAACTCTAACAAACATCTAAACATGTAAACTTTCGCATTTGTAATATTAGTATGATTGGCTTTGTAAAATAACCCTAACATTTAAGATTAATAAACTAAAGTGTTCACTTTGCATCGTTCTAGGAATGTAATTACAACAATTATTTCAAATGTAATGCAATAAGCAAGACGCATTAGCAAATTGAAGTGCTAGTATCATTTCCTTTGAACTGAACGACTTTGACCACACTCAATTACTTGAAAATGGCATGCAAATTCCTTTGTCACTAGAGTTTTCGATGAGTTAAATAAGATTAGAATTGTTCTACCCATAGCTAAATTCAAGACTGACATAGTTACTGTATATTTTATTTGAGAGTTACATTTTTATTTAATAAAAAAACAAACACTACGGTAAACGGTCGAATCACACACATCAAAATCGAATCAGTTATTTAGATAAAGTAGAGCTTCTTAGTGCATAATACATGTTTAAAGAAATACATACCTTATTGTTATTTAAAGAGAGTGTCTTTAAATACGGCATGAAAGGAAATCTTATGTTATCCTCTAGTTTATTATTGTCCAGAATCAATTCCTGTAGCCTCGTGAAGTTCTCTAACCCTTTAAGTGTTTCTATATTGTTGTAACTGAAAACAAGCATCGTTTTATCATATATAATGATACCCAATTAAAATAATAAATGGCTTGCCTACGTGAGTAATTCTCATTCTAATTAATCTTCGGAATAAACTATAGTAATCTTTAATACATCTCCATCTTAATGTTTCATGAATCTATGTTGCATAATCTTAACTCGATACTTTCATTTTTTCTCATTTTATGTAAGTTGTTATAGGTTTTTGCCTTTCAAATCGATCTACGATTCGTCACTAATTCCTCAATTTTCTATTCATTCACATTGCTTATTCCTAGAAAATGATATCTGAATGTGATAATTATTTAGTTAATAAGAAAACTTTATACCAAAATGTGTTCCAGTTTAAATTAAATTAATTCCAATGAATATTCCAAAACTCGCAAACAATGAGACGTAACTAATCGTAAAGTTTCAATGAGAAACAACTATCATGCAAACGTTGATGGGTATAAAGCTTCTTACCGCTTTAGAGAATTCAATACAAAACAACAAAACAAGCTTTCCGCTCCACCGGTATTAACTTATAGAAATGAATAAATCATAGCAAAACAAATCCTACAAAACAATCCCGAACTTTGTAGCGTTACTTGTTAATTTTTAAATGCGTGTTTAAATATTTATTTGTTAGTTTTAATAATGAAACTAACCTGAAAATAAAGATTACACTTTTATAATAACTTCATGTAGGTAAGTTTTAAATTAGATAAACGATACAATATTTAATTATTTTTCTCCAAAAAATTGGTTTTTTCCTCTCTTATGTTTGATATATACGTTTAAAAAATAGAGAAAAAACTTTTATGACTTGAAAATTGAAATTATAAGTCACAATTGTCTCTGGTTATTCCATTGCAAAAATAACACGACCATCCTGGTATCAATGTGAAAATAAATTACTAAAAATAAAAACTCGTGTATGTAAACAATTTGGAAACGATTTTTTTATCTTCTAACTTACTGATTACGTCTTAACGTACAAAGCATTTGTTGTTATGAAATTTTGTTTTATAAATTCTCGACGCTGTTTTTACACTATCGTCAGTTCTTTGAAACTTTAAGTGGTAAAGTTAACATGGAATTTTCTGGACCAAGATATCTACGACCTTTCGCGATGAATGCTTAATTTACGACCTCTTTCTAACCAACTATAAAACACCTACTTTTTAATGTAAAAACTTGATAAAAGTGCACACATCGACGTATGGTGACCACAGACGTCGGCTGAAGTCTATTATTTCTTGAAGCCCGCAACAGACTTTTGGTTAGAATTGAATGGTGCGACTGTTCAATTAAAACTGAGTTTATAAGTTGACGTTACGTTGTTGGATGAGTCTTCTCATTGTACTTTACATACCTTAAATCCAAATAATGAACCTTAGTACCGTACATGTTCCATAGTGCCGATGGTATTCTCTGACAATCTTGTCCACAATAACTTAACTGTAACAAAGAACACCAATGTGAACAAAAAAAATATAGATATACTAGCTTTCGCCCGCAACTCCGTCCGCGTGGAATTAAAAAAAACAAAAGCGAGTAGCCTGTGTGTTCTTGCAGACTATCCTCTACATCCATACCAAATTTTATCGAAATCCGTTCAGCCGTGTAGGCTACAAACTCTGACAAACATCCATCCATCCATCTAAATTTTCGCATTTAATATTAGTAAGAAGTAAGATTTTAACTAGATTTATAACATGTAAATTAAAAAAATAGGAGTCAAATTTTTAAGTTACTGTTGTAATTTTTTCTTTTAAATAATTAACTCAAAAGCTTCCCTTGAATGCTTAAAATTAATTGCATCAGCCATTTACAGCTTCCGTGTTCAATTATTGAACCTTCCAATTAAAAAAGACAATAAAATGTTTTGGCAACATTACCTTATCTACGCGTCCATTCGTAATTAAAATATAAATTTAAAGGCGAAATTGAATTTCGATGATTTCGGAATCTCAATTTTAGCGTACATCTACGCTTTTAGCACACAACCGCGTAAGCGAACCGAAAGCGATTATGCCTACCTTTCCGTCAAGTAGTAGAATTTATTTACTACAACGGTGGCTTTTTCCTTACACCTTTCTCTACAGTAAAAAAACAAACACTAATTAGAAGAAACGACGGCGAGTAGTACGTACTAAATTTAGGAACCGTTTTTTAAACATCGCTTCGCGTCGCTTTCGCAATTGTGTGCTATAGGCGTGAACTGGAGTCGCCGAAAAGACGTTTTCAAATTGTGAAAGTCTCATTCCCAGTAGCTCGAGGCAGATTCATTAATTAAATACAAAGTATTCGTTGGAGATTGGCAACACTGGCTATTAATTATCGTTTATTTCAAGCTTTATACAGACTTTATTAATTTACCCCTTTGCATTTATTACGCTTCATACAACATATGTATACTGTTAATATGATAATTTTAAGCAAACTTTAAAAAAAAATCCGCAAATATTTAATCACTACGAATAGTAGATAGTGACGATTATGGCCACTTGAAGGCAAACAAGTCCAAATGACTTTGATTTTTATGTTCCTCATATATATCCAATATATTATCACCGTAGAAGCGCAACCATTGGAATTACAGAATTATGCAAGTCAGCCAGTATGTGTCAAGGAAAATCTGACTGCTGAGGCTGAAGTGCTGTCTGCCTTTGATTGGCTCTTAGAATCTACATGTTAACTGTATTTAGTTGTGTATTCTACCACATTGAAAGGATTATGGTGATAATTGCATAATAGAAAGTAATTTGTACTATGACCTTCGAATCGTTAATCTCGTAGCTAATGAGTCAAAACCATCCAAGTTTATTCACATGTATTTGAATATTTTTATTTCCTGACTCAACTGGTAAATCTTGTCGTAAGCCGGTTTTATTATGACACAGTTATTTTTGTCTAATATTACATAAACAGTGATTAAGATAGGCAATGTGTATGGTTCCAAGAATGTCTCACAAGACTGAATGAAAATAACAAATTGTTAACATGGAAATAAATCCTAAACACTTCGCTTCGTTAGCATCGCTTACAACGTCAGATGTCAAAACCTTAATGGCTTTTGGTGTTTAACGCGTGCACACACCTAACTAAACTATCGCACAACTGTTTAGTCTCGCTTTGAATTTATGTGAAGGTACGCACACTACTCGATTTTTAGTTGTGTAAATCGTCAATAGACAATTGCACAACATTGTGCGACAGTTTAGTCACAGGTGTGCGCCCGCTCTAAGCGTGTCCTTATCATTAAGGTGCTATTACATATTTAAAGCGTTGTCTTTCAATTCTATTCATTATTATAATGAACCAAATACTATGAGCACGGGTACACATTATCGCATACCAATGAGTATTCAATTCTGCTTAATCATGTTTTGTTTTCTTTAACATAAAGTTTTTCCGAAGAATGATCAAGGTTTTAATTGTGATAGACAAACTGTCTACAGAAATAGATATAAAGTAAAGTACAATAACATTGTAACATAATATTATAATTACTACAGGTCAGCTTATCAGTGCACAATATATATTTACTTCATTATACATACTGTATACATTGTACAATAACAATAATGTAACAATTTGTACTAGGGTTGTACCGGAGGCCTTTTTAACGGGAGCAAATGCGGATGCGGAGGCGAAGGGCTTCACCTCAGAAGAAGCGGAGGTTAATCGAAGCGGAAGCGAAAGTCAATAATAGAATGCTAATTGCGATTTATTAAAGAAATTAAAATTAAAACTACGCTAATTTAAAATACAGATTAGTACATAATTCCAAAATACATTTTATCATGCAAATATAATGTATAACAATTATAGTTAGTTGACCTAGCACGCCCGCGCGGGCCGCATTAACGATACCTAATCGCCCCACTCTCGTTAAAGACGTAAATTAACCTCCGTTATAACTCCGCATAAGAAATAACGGAAGCGGAAGCGAATGCGGAGTTATCATATCTTGCGGAAGTTCCGCACTTGCGGATGCGGAGGCGGAGTTTCGGTACAACCTTAATTTGTACTACATATAAATAAAACTATTCAAGCCAGTAGGGACAAACACGGTGATGATAGGAAATTAATGTAGTTATTTTATGTTTACACTTACATATGATGATGGAAAGGTATTTTAGATTGTTATGGACAAGTACCGAAATTACTTAGTTATTCATAAGGATAAATTAGAACTAATGATATGAAAAATAAACTTTATTAAGAACTAGAAATTATTCAATAACAATTATTTTATAAATTCTAGTTAGGTGATTGTTAAATATATTATGTATACAACATTATTAGCGAATATTTAAATAGATTACATACAAAAAGAAAAAGTCGAAATAATACATTTTGTACACAAAATTGCCTAAATATATCACATATCACAAATGCTTTAGTAAATATTAGATAGCTGGTTTTGTACCAATATCCCATATAAAGTATGCACTGATCGTGAAATAAAAGCAAATAATATGTTCTTATCAGAAACTGTCCATTTATTTATACTCGGTAGAGTCATAAATGTTAATATTGATACTAGGAACTTTTGTACAATACACTAAAGGTCCAAATTAACCTTGACCCATTTCTATTAAATGAGGTTTTAACAAACTTTTCAGGAAGGATTTTGTTACAGTAATGATGATTGTCCATTAAGGGTTACAATAAGAAAAAGAATACTTTTAGCAAATTTTTTCACTGTTCCATAATGTGAAAATCTTCCTAGAATCATAACAATTATTTAAGTAAATCATTATCTTGTTAAATCATTCTGATTTGTAAAAGTTGTTCCATAATTTTGGGTTACTTGCTAATAAGCAAGTAAAACCAAAACAACAAACAAGTAAAACAGTAAATAGACTGGGCTCGCTTATTTTTAAGGGTGCCCAGTCTATTTTCCCCTTTGAAGAGGATGGACATGGGTACTGGACTAAAATTAGGCCTACAGCACTCAATTGTCAAAAGAACCTCAGAATTCCTTCTACTTGGAGCCTGACTCCTATGCAGTTTTGGAATTTCACCATGTACGCCATCCCATTTGTGCAAAGACATTAAAGCTGGCTCTACCACTGTTTCAGTTATGTACATAGTTGAATCTTTCACATTTAAAATACTAGTAAGACTACTTTAGAGTTTCAAGTTGGAATACAAACACTGAAAGGAATTTGAGTATATCTACCTTCAACAGTATGCTAAAACTAGCAGATGATAAGTTAATTATCACTTTACCTTTAGCCATTTTTCTAAGTTATCATCCTCTTCGATAACACTAAGATTAGAAACTTGCCTAACTGATTTACATATTGTAACTAATGTCAGATTGTAATAATTGACATTTGATGTTTTACTCACTTTACTTGTAACTTTATCGTTACTTTGTTTCCTAATGCCATACTTCATCACAACTATGACCCATTTAATAAAAGAGAACAGTGAAAAATATAATTCCAAAATGGAACAAAGAACTATGCTTATATTAAAAAATATAAGCAAATAATCTTTCAACATTTTTAGTACACAGTTTTGTTAATTTAATTACATTTTGAGTGTGTGTGGGCAATCACACTACTAAATTGATAGAGCCTTTATTAAATTACAAGAGGCTTAATTAGATAAACTAACATGTTAGTCAAGCAATAAGTTTCATGGATAGACCACTTCAACTGGTAATGTTAACTGTAATATTTGATAATTAATTACTATGGAATTTATTTAATTAATAACTATCATAGATCAAAATACAGTTCAATAAAAATAGGTTTTAAAAGTAATAGTAATAAATAAAAAGGTATGAAAAAAAATACAAGTCTTATTTTTAACGTAAATTTAAAACCGTTTTGATTATAGAAAAGTTAATTAAGATTTTTTAAATGCAGTTTTTTCTTGGTATAAGTCAATTACTTTCTTAGTAATAAATTATACTTACGCGATTGTTTTGAAATGATAATGCAAAAGTATTTATATGTACTTCATCCATTTTAAACACAAGGTAAGATAACCTTTTCACAATCGACACAGTTGAAACATTTATTACTTAATAAAAAAGTTTTAGAAATACGTTCGTACTTCGTTTTATAGAAGCAGAAACTTCACTTCAATCCTTCACACATTGTTTTGAAACATTTAACTTTCAAATGTTTGAATGTTTGACGTTTGATTTACTAAGTTTGACATCTGTCAACAACTTTTTGACATTAAGTACAAAGTTGCTATCACATAAAAAGGTTGATTTTGTTTTAAACCAATAAATTAACAGTTATTTAATTTAATTAATTACAATTTCTTTTCAATCGCAAGTAATTTACGTGGAAAATATATTTGACTAACCAATACTAGGTACTTTATTTATATATCTAAACTAAACATTAAAGTAAACACACACTCTTTTTTATTACGTAGGATTTCAACAATAACAGCATGTTTTTGTTATAGAATGTCCTACATTTACAACACACGTGACTGTAGGCTACATATGTTCAAGTTCTTTAATTTAGGGGGTTGAATAAATTAGAAAAAATCGTTGGAAAAAATGACAAAAACAACAAACCAAAAGCAGCAAAGAATTAAGATTTGAAATTGCCATGGCAACAGTAATTGTTAGCTAATAAAGTCCCGGGCGACCGTTAGTTTTAACTAAAGATAAAGTTAAACCATAGTACATTACTCAGCCTTATAAATTTACTTAATTTTTTTAGGGAGATTTTATTATTGAAAGTGTCATATTCATTTTCCCTTTCTTCATGTAAATACATATACCTGTAACGAATTCGGGGACAATTTTAGTTGACAGAAAGACAAAAGAACGAAGTGGAATTATTTCATTAGTGTCCCAGATTCGAAATTCAATACTCAATGTTCAATTATGTTCTCTAACGTCGCGTCGATGCTACCCAATTTTTAACAGACGCAACGTTACATCGTTTTGTAAGATAGGTAACATGATCACCTCATTCCTTCTCATCGATTTGCAATAAAGGGTTTTTTAAATAACTTTGTTATTTATAATTTCAATAATAAGCATTTTATTTTACTGACGTAAAAAAACTAGTTCGCATCAATTACAACAAAGTACTGTTGTAATTGATGTATAACTTTTACGTTTGTTATGTTTAAAATAAATTGTTATTTGAACTTTCTTGTATTACTATCGGTATCGTATTCGGAGCGTTATCTCTCTATTCTATATACAGGACTGAAAACATTATTTTTACCATTCACTAAAAGAGACAAAATGTATGAAATGAATACGAAATCACAGAAAGTTGGAACAATTCGATTATTATAGAGCTTAGGTAGGGGACACAAAGGAAATTTGTTTTTGAGACGTGCTTTATAACAAAGCCTTACATTGAGTTATGTTAAACATTGTTTTGTTGAATTAACTTAAGTAGACATGTCTTATTTTTGCAGATATAATTTAGCTATCGTATGTATGACAAGGGCGGATCTAGCTTTGACGCCAGAGGGGGGGGGGGG